TGTAAGCATATCGCAATAAGTCGTTTCTTCATCACCATCACAGAACAAAGTATTCAATTCCGATATCCGTCGCTTCAACAGGCTATCGAATCTATCGAAGCGAGTTGAATTCGTGGACATGTGAAGTTCTCCTTGGATATTTTCCCTTTTAGCGAAATACTGGATTTTTCAGACACTTCAAAACTTGAATAAATGCTCTTCAGTTGCCATTTAACCTGTTTAGCCGATCAGGTGTTTAGGAAGTATCAGTTTTTATTAGGCCGAGAATTACATCGAAATTATACTAGGTTTATTTGCAACTTGAATGAGCGTTTCTTCAAGCGCTCAACACTAAAAATGAACTTTTAAATTTGAGCGCAGCAGTTGTCCGTGCAAATTTCTCAATCCTGTAAATTTCTGGAGTGTTCCGAGATGCTGGTGTACTTTTGCGTGTGGTCTGTGTAATTTACTACGTTGATCTTTCATCCACATTATTGCTCCGATTCACTCACACTTGATGTCATGCCAATTGTGTGCTGCTGTAACATTTTATGGGATTCATTTTAATCGTTCTATAAAAGTTGTTTAGTTGAATATCTTGAACGCGTTTTTGAAATATTCATGTTTTGTTGCAGTGTTGGCAATGAACTAAGAAGTTTCAGTGCGCCAAGTCATTCCTGATAAAATTCAAAAACCGTCAGTCGCGAATTCTAACAAACACTTGACTGAGTGTTCATTTTCAATGAGTTATTTTCTCAAGATCGAATATTCTTGAACCGAGCTGAATGAAAAGTTTTTGTTGATATTCTGCACGCACACAACAGACAAATTGTAAAACATGCTGTTGTTGAAAACGTAAAGAAATTGATTCGAATGAAAAATTGTTTCGAACATTTGTTTCATTTCAATCAGTTGCGTTCATAGTGCTGCTGAGCAGTTAAGATTGCTGCTTTCTGTGTGTGTGTGCTGAAACTAGTTTTTTCATAGTAACTGGGCTCTCTCATTTGCATCGTTTCGAATTTTCCTTCATTTCACCTCGTTAAGTCAACCATCTCTCCTCATTTGATTCCTCCTTCTACGAAACGATTGATTCACTGAGTTTACCGAAAGAATATTGGGCTCCTTCAAGATCCTTTCAGGTTAAAACAGAAAGCATAAAATGACTCCTCCAGCGTTCGTTGACCTCGGCAAGGCTGCCAAGGATCTTTTCACAAAAGAATACAGTAAGTTTATTGTACTGTCAAGCACTTTAAAAAAATTATTTTGGTTTAGTATTGTATTCGTGCTTTGCCACAATTCCTCATTGCTCGTAATTTTGATGTTGTTCAGATCACGGCTTTTTGAAAGTGGAATCAACGACTCATGCCGACCAAAATGGAGCGATCGAATTCAAGACTGGTGGTGTGCACACGATTGCATCGGGACGAGTGGCCGGAAACGTTGACGTCAAATACAAATTACCATCTTATGGTATCTTTCTAGATCCATCTTCATTTTGAAACCGTTCGAAATTTCAGCTTCAGAATGATAATCTTTCATTGGAGCAATTCTCAAAATAACAGCAGGCCGATTTTCTAGGTTTCACTTTAACCGAGAAATGGAATACGGAGAATATGTTGGGCACAGTGATCGAGGTGAAAGACCAGTTTGCAAAGGGTCTTAAAGTGACATTTGATTCGTGTTTTGCTCCTCAACTTGGAAAACGTACAAGTAAAGTGAAGGGTGAATGGTCTGGCGATCGAGTGAAGGTAATAACTGCATTGTGTCGATTGAAATTTCATTTAAGTTTTTGTTCAACGATCAATTTATACTTCATTCTCAAAGTGAATTACTTTCCGAGAAGTTGGTCATATGGAATAGTTGGTGATGACTTTGTTAGATACTAATTAAAGGTGAACTGCGATTTGGGCTTGGATGCCGGTGTCCTCCTGAATATGTCTGGAGTGACGGAATTTCGCACTTGGTTGATTGGAGTACAAACATGTTTTGATACGACAACGAGTAAACTTCGTGTACGTTTGAAAACTGTTCATTTATTTTACGTTTTAATTGCCCAATTCCTTATGGTCAAGATATTGTTGTAAATGGGAGGTCGTGCTTATCGTTAGTTTGACTAATTGCATGGTGAAAGAATTTTTCCATACAAACTAGTATCGTGGATGAGTGAGGTTGAATGTATTCGGAATTCGTTTCTGTTTTTGGCTTTCTGATAGTGACATTTATCTAATTGCTAATTGCGGTTCAAGACGATATCAGTTGATTGGTTGTTTGTTTCAGAATACAAATGTTGCGTTCGGTAAGATTGGACCCGACTACGTGATTCATTCGTTTGTGAACAATGGACAGGAGTTCGGTGCTTCACTGTATCATCGAGCTGCGCCCGTATGTGTATTCTGACAAGCTCATAGCATTTCGTTTTGCGTTTTATTGTTCGAATTTACATGAATTCTGCTAAGAAAA